CCACATGGTATGAAACCATGCCTTCTTGGATGCTGTAGCCAGTTTTCCCCACTCTCATAGCCCCAAAAAAACCCATTGTAAAGGATACTTGGAATAATTTTGCTTTGATGGGCAACCAGCAAATGGTTGGCACCCTTTGTATGAGGCCAGTAAGAAGGGCTATGGTTAGGGGCTTCCTGATGTCTGGCTTGGTTGCCATCTCCCTGCATCAACCCTCTATCATTGATCATGCTTGGAAAGAGCAATATGGACCTGCAAAAATATGTGTCTTGCTTTTTAAAAAAGTGATATCACCTCCAAGGGTATGCCCATATTTCTTAGCATCTGCTCTTCAGCCTTGATAGAGGCCACATACTGCCTCTGGGGTTGGCCTGTGGTCCCTTTGGCTGTAGCAACTGCTAAGAAGGTGGTGGTTATTGCTGAATACAATCAGTATGTGGTGGGAGAAATGGAATTAAATACATGTTATTTCATGTTCCCAGGTGCCCACAGATTCATGCTCAAGCTATGGTGCAAGTCACTGGTATTGCCTTATCTACATACCACCTGCTGTTGAATTTGAAACTAACAACCCAAAGCCCTCCAGATGAACAGAAGGTTCATCAGATGGCCTGAAGGTCAACAGGATGTCATCCTTAATCATAATGGCCCCAGTGCCACATGCCTTTTGGCTTCATCCCTGTCCCTGTTAGAGAGGAGGCACACTGGCAGCATGGCCAAGGCATACCTGCCATGCTGAGCTCAGGTGGGATGGCTTGGGAAATGACAAGTGGTGGATAAATCTATACTTGCCTGACACTTGCTTCTGCACTATTCACAGGGGTCATACCTGCAGGATGGGAAGAGGTGGAGCCCAGTAACCTGCCAGCCCTGCATTCCTTGGCAGTTTTTTCCACTGCCACCTCCGGTATATTGCAAGCTGATTTGACCCACTCCCCATCTAGGGAATATGGAATCCCTGGGTGAAATCTTCTCTAGGACAGCCCAAAGTGTCTCTGGGTAGGCTGGGTGACAGGCCATGCCCAGGCTTCCTCGATTGGAGGGTAGACTAGCTGCTCAGCCTGCTCTTCCCTCAAGCCCTTCCAGCCCCACTGACTGGGCTGAGGAAGCCAGAAATCATGTAGTCTGGGTCCCATCTCCATACATACAAAGCTACCAGCATATGGCTTCTAGCTGCACTGGCCTCCTATTTTCCTACCACTGTGGTGCAAACAGGATTTCCTGATAAAACAGAACCTGAGCTATGTGTGGCAACAGGCAGGGATTACATTTCTCACTTACTTTTTGGCGCAGCAATGAAAGGGAATAAAATATAATCTTCAAACAAGTAAATAAGCCTTATTCTGATCCCTTTGTTCATGAGTAAATTGCATGCTGTGTTAAATATAGAGTGTACAGCTAATTCTCACATTCTTTTAAAAATCCAGATAAACACCTGGAGCCCTGATTCAGATCAGGACCACCATGCAGAGGAGGATAAAACCTTCCCACCCAGCCACTTTCCCTAATAAATTCCTTTTCCCATTGGTATGGATGGAATCTTCTTTTTCTTCTTCATCTGGATACTGTTGCTGGGGAGGAGGTGAATTTGGTGGAAAAAGGGAGGAGGGAGGATGCTCCCTGCCTTTGCATGGTAGTCTTTATCTGGTTTAGGTCCCCTAAGATTATCTGGAGATGAAGAAAGAAAAACTACCCACTGAAAGAAAAAGTCCCCATCCTTTTTTGGACCCATGTCCCCATTTAGACATTTGAGAAACTGCTGCAGGCGTCACCACAAAATGCCTAATCAGTGGATTGTCACCTGGGTGTCTCCTCTGCCATGTCTGTGGGTCCTTTGCTTTTTATTCAGCAAAAATGTGTGCTTCTTCTCTATTGGGCATCACAAATGTTAGTTTAATAAGGGATTGTCTAATTCGGATAATTACTAGTGGTTTGATACAGCTAATGTTTCTTTTAAACCTATGTTTTGGCAATGCTCAGGAGGCCCAGTCTAAACTCTAACCACAACACCACATTGGCTTACCTACTCTTGTCAAATTAGATAATTCCTAATGATCTATATGGATTTGCAACATCCTAAACTTTATTAGTTAAGATTTCCATAAATAGCTTAATTGTCTATGCAATTATTGTCATATTTTCTCCTTTCCCTAGCTCTTACCAAATCTATTTACTTGTTCATGTAAAATTTATATTGAAAACCTTTTATTCACTTAATTATTTGTGGAGAGAATAATCCATAGAGATAGCTATACAGACAGTGTTTAATGCATGCACAGTCAACTTAATATCTTCTTATGAACTGTTTCCCTAGCATAACAAAACAAATAGGTTTAATGTTATGTCATATTCTGTTATATCTCTGATGGTTGCTATTTAGTCACTTCTAATTTACGGTCAAGGCCAAAAGATGTAAAATATATATATTTCACGAACCATACCTCCAACACTTATACTTGGTTGCAGGATAAATTATTAAGGGCATCAGATTTATAAATCTACATCTACAAATCCACTTTTAAAATATTCTTTTGAAATACATACAAGTTGTTCACTAGTGGTAATAAGTCTATGTCCACATCCTAGAAAAATCCTATTTCCATTTAATCTGATTATTAATTACCTGGTAACTCTATATTAACAATTATTTTAGGTAACCTACTTAATATGCCACTACCTTGAGTTGGTGGAATATATGTTCAGGAGTACAGTACTAAATATACATCTGCAAAATTATTGCTGTTGCTTCCAAGTCTTGTAGTGAGACTGCAGCCTTATCTCAATTTCTTCTTAAATTATTACATAAGTTTTACTACCCATTACTAACCATGGGAGTGCTGTTATATGCACTCCTTTGCATGGCTATAGGAAATAGCCATGTCATCACTTACTCCTTTGCAGTATTTAACTAGTATTTCTTACTAGAAGGCCTCTGGGCAGACAAGGCCTAGAGACCACTGGATGTGGCAGATTCATGGACTTTCCCGTCTCCATTCCATGGTAGGTCACCATCCCAATTCTTCCCTTTTCCAAGGTTTGAACTTCAGAACATGAAACTGACTAGGACTTTCTGTGGCAACTGGGCAAGTCTTGGCAGGTGAGATGTGACAATCCCCACTGGGATTTCCCCCTCTGGTATTTGGAAGGAGAAATCATCAGCATTCTATGCTCCCTCAGGTGCCACCTAGGAGCTTTGAGCTTGCTCTCCAATTCTAGTTTTGAGGGAAGGTATAAAGCAGTGGATAAGCACACCTCTGTAGGAGTCATACACAGTGAGCTGGAAGCTTCCATGTAGTCAGATGAAATCAGTTCTCAGCTGTCAGACATCCCGTGCATCGGTTCTGCTTTTCCTGCACTGTGTCGGTTGGTCTGAAAAGATAAGAATTCTTGGAGGAGCGGACAGGCAAGGGAAGAAATGGTTCAGTCCACATGTTGGAACTCCAGTCACACTGAGCTTTGGGGAGGGGTGGGGGGGATGGATACAGCTTATCAACCAGACATCACAATGTAAAATGTAATTTTCAGTGCACAAATTTTCCGTCTCAAGTAGAAGTATGCTTTGTTTCTCTGTGACCATGACACTTCCTTTCATTTTTATGTCATGTTTTGTTATCTCTTAGTTCTCAACTTCACACTGTGCCATAAACGATGGCTGATGCAAGATAAGGAAGCAGAAGGGGAAAAGGAAATAATTGCACTTATTGTCTGGTTTAAGTATAGCAACATTAATGAAGGAAGACAACAATCACAGCCTTGGTATTATTGAGCTCCAGATGTCTTGCGCCTTATGCACTTACACACAAACAGACATTCCAAAATACAGGTGTCAAAATAACATAAAATGTGTTTTGGGGTTTCAAGAGGTTGTAGTGATTCATAGAACAAGTGTTAAAGAAACTAATTTTTCTATCTCTGTGCTGGAAAAATAATAATAATTGCCCCTTAGGCTTGAACTAACCTACACAGCAAATACAGGTTTTAATCCTAAGGAAATAATGGAAATACGTTGAGATAGTAAAGTAATATTTCAGCACACCAAATGCTAATAAAGTTCAGATGCATTGAGAGAAGTGGTGGTTAAAGTTGTTTGTGGAACATAGAATTAGGCACACTTTGCCAAAATGATTCTGTTTCATCATTCCACACACTCTCCAATCAATTATTTTATGTGCCAAAAAGCACTACGGCATTCAAATACATCCCGGTGTTCTGCTGATGCATCTCCATAATGCTAGAGACATTAGATAGGGCACCACTGTGTTCTCTAAATAAAACAATTAAAACTGTGATCAATTAAACTATAATTATTATGATAATTGGATATCTGAATTAGGAAAGACAAGCATTCTGGACCCATTTTTTCCCTAATTCACATGTGGCATGCACCTTAATAAACTTTTACTCTTCTGATTTAATCCATTTGCTAGGGGATAGCCAAGCTCCTAGGACCTAATAAAAATGAAAAAAAGAATCTATATCAGCCTGCCCAACCTGGTGGCTGGCTGGGGTATGCTGCGTGTTGTGGTTCAACACATATTTGCCAAGAGTGTCTTTTATTTCAGAGATACTGACTCTGAAGGCCCATATGAGAAAATTCTTTTATCTGAAGAATGTTTGTTATCCATTCAATAATAAAAGCTGGCTAGAGGCCAGCAGTCTTGCGGCTGCTAAATCCCAGTTCTTCCTTGCAACCTGCCACCTAACTATACAATCGGCAAAACACATGAGACTCGGTCTTCCAACTTTCTCATGCACAGCTTTCTCATTCAGTTCATTTACGAGTCTGCAGCCTTCTCACTAATCTCCTTTTCTCTGGCGTATCTCTGTTATTCCTTCAATCATCATTTCTTCTTACTCAGTGCTGTACGTCTGCATCTCCAACCTCCAAAGAGTTACACAAGTGTAAAGTACTTTTGCAAAGCAGCTTTAGAAACCCCTAATATTCTTTAAATGTCATACATGTACATATATTAAATGCTTTTCCTGCACTTCTGTTGCAGAGATGCCAAGAAGGCTTTTTCCAGACATTTTCAGGAGAATGCCGTCCTTGTCATTGCAACAACAATGCATACAAGTGCCTTGACGGATCTGGAGTTTGTCTGGTAGGTAGTCCTTCCTGGTTACTAGATCTGTTAGTACATTGTTCTTTGTAAGCAGATATGTATGTATGAAATCCGGAGTGAAAAGTTGGCAAGAGAAAATCACAAGTTGTTAGAAAATACATTCAGAAAGACTTATTCGGATATCTATTTATACACAATTTTGTGTGTCAGTTTTTAGAAGACATCACACATTAAGTTGAAAATGGGACAGAGCAGACTTATGAATGAGCACATGAGAGAATGGCCCAGACCAGGCAGATCTGTCATTAGGGAGCAGTCCTATGGCCCTCTGTCTGCCCTTGCAGATGGCTTGGTCCTTTCCATGCTGGCCAGGATCCAAAAGTTGTCTTTAGTGCTGGCAAGTGTGTTCCTGGGGCAGGGAGAGGAGGAAAAGGCTCTGCCATTCTCTAAACAATCCTGATAGTGTCTCAGGCTTTCCTCCTCATGAGGAGAAGAAAAAATTAAAATAAGTTATCTATATGTCTTGGAAGGTGGAGGAAATCCTAGTCTGCATAGACTTCCTACCATCCATTGGATGCCCATAAGCCTCTGAATTGAGAGGGTTGCAGGCAGCCATATTGGATGGTGTCCTTAAGGGGGAACATGTACATTTATATGTTCAGTGTTTTCCCAGGGTTTCCCTTTAAGTGCTTCTGTACTGTATGTGAGCATAGGAGGTAGTTTTGGAAAGAAACACCTAGGAAAAAGATTGGGTTCACAGAATTGGCTTGACAGATCATACACATGCACTGTTTTGGAAACCAGATAAAATGTAAAACTAAATTTTGAAATTGTGCTTTATTCATTTCAGTGTGCTTGCATAGTGATAGCATTAGCAAATGCTGAAATGGAATGAGACCCTTCACAAGAGTTGTTGTTGTTTAAATCAGCTTTGTGTGTGCAGCAATAAAACAGATACAGAAAATGTGGGTTTGCTTTTTCAGGTAACTCGATTCCAGTGTGATAAGTAAAGACTTTATAACCCACAATGTTTTGTTTTTGCTTTTTTACAATAGTGCTAAAAGCAACCATTAAGCGTGTTGTTTGCTTGAAAAACTGAACTTCTAACATTCCTTCTTTCCTGTTTTCTGAAGCCTGCAACTATGTGATGGATCAATATACTGTATCAGAGTTCATAAATATTTTAACTCTGAATAACATGACCGACAGAAGCCACTCGATCATTGCTGATAACCTGCGATTTCCCTAAAACTCTATTCCATTTTTATCTTACAAAGAATGATCAGTTACTTATCCAAATATGCATCTTTTTAAAAATCTGTTGCTAATTGTAGGCTATCCTGTTTACACATCTGTGATCTGCTTTGTCTTTGAGTAGGAATCAAGAAAATGAAATGTATATTTCACGTGCATTCATCTATGGACAGCTTGGCATGCTACCAGTTACTCTAATGATTAGAAAGGCCGGGGCTATATTGAACAAGCCTGCACTGGCTGCAGATACATGCCTTCCTTAATAGTCTTAATTGTGTAAACTGGGCTTTGTCAACACACTCCAGCAGCCTAGGACTGCTGTTCAAAACAGCTACATTGGCAGCGCACTGCCAGTTACAAGCTCTTGCGGTTGAATCAGTCAAATACCTGGAAGGATTTAGTAACTGGGCACAGAGACTTTTCACTCTGCTTACTCAGCTGTTTCTGCCATGGCTGGATGAGAAGCTTCTACTTTAGTGCTTATGCGTTTTTGTGCTGCTCACTCCTTCTCTCTTGTGTTCTTGCTTAATAAAATTGCAGGACTGTCAACGAAACACAACTGGAGACCACTGTGACCGCTGTCCAGAGGGCTACCTGGGGGATGTCACCAGGGGAGCGCCCAGCTACTGCCAGCCTTGCCCATGCCCCTTGCCACAAATTGCCAAGTACGTTAGGTGGATTGTATTTTGTGTCATTGGCTCTCATAGCTGTCTCTTCTACAGCTAAGGAAATGCATGACCAGATATTAGATTTCCCAGAGGAGCAAATGTTGGCAAACATCTGTACAAAGAAACAAGATCAGTTTGTTAACCTATTTGCTTTTATAGTTAGCTTGACAAAATGCAAAAGATATGTAACCTACGGCAGAAACAGGAATTGTGTACATTGACTGATGAATCAATGTCATTTCTGCTAGGTAACATGACCATTCCTCGAGGATTGCAAGATTTCCTTCTAATTTTATTTAGAAGTTTTATAAGTCACCCTTTAGGCAATGTACAAAGTTTAAAATCACAAAGCATAATGAAACAAACTATGATAATCAAATTAACAATAAACACCAGCTAACACCACATATGCAATGAAGTCCTGATGCAGCAGGTGGAGGCACACCCCATGCTGGCGTACCCTGTAAATCAGTGTGATTTCTTTGCAGAACTACCCACTGTATGGCCAACAGACAAGTGGGCTTAGTGTGCCCCTCTGTCTCCTCATTCCCCAGCTGGCTTGGGCACATACCTCAGAGCTCCCTTGCAGTATCAGTATAGACAAGGGTGATCCAGTAGACCTTGCTTACTTGAACTTCCCAGAAGACCTTTGACACGGTCCCTCACCAAAGACTCCTGACAAGGTCCCTTGCCAGTCATGGAATAAGAGGGGAGAAACTCTAATAAATGAGTAATTAGTTAAGATTTAGAGCTGGAGGTTGCTTTTCTTTCCCATTTCTAATCTTGCATGCCAAAGGAAGCCTAAGGGCTTTCAGTGCAAAACAAATAGACAAAAAACCCTCTACAAGGAATGAAATTTGAATCTACCAGCCGGTATGCAAAATAGGGTTTCATGAGATTTCATTGATTCATGCCAGGTGAATTCTGCCCTGTCATTTATAGACTCCCAGCCAGTTTATGAATCATCTGGAGAGCATTCAGAAGTTCTCCACCAGTGTTTTTCCATATATGTTTTTTCCACAGGCGAATGAGGTAGCTTCCTATATGAGCAGTGAAAATGTGAAATCAAAAACATTGGAGTATTTTCCTCTTGCCTATTCTGACAAGCTCTTCAACATCTCAGGTCTCTTCTATCACCTGCTACCTGATCCTTCTAAGTGGAGAGAGCAAGGTTTGAGCCCAGGAGCTGCTGCACACAGTGGACTGTATCACTTAGTTACTAGTTCACCATGTATTTCCCACAGCTTCTTCCTAAAAGGTGTATCTGAGATGTTTCCCCTTGCTTTAGAGCAGGGGTCTCAAACTCGCGGCCCGCAGGCCAATTGCCGGGATGGGTGGGGCACGGGGGAGGGGCCCTGCGGCCTTCAAAGCGCCTGCGGCACCCGGGCTGGCCTGCGGGAGCAACGCGGGATGAGCAGCCCACCACCACCACGGTGGTGGAATACTTGATGCGGCCCAGCCTCACCCAGACTCTACTTCCAGCGGCCCCCAGGTCAGTTGAGTCTGAGACCCCTGCTTTAGATTTTATTAAATAAATAATAAAATCTGCTGATATATTTATCTACTGATAAATAAAAGCTACTGATAGATTTATCTACAGCTACATTTCTGAACTGTATTAGGCATAATGAAAGGCCTTTCAGGAATAATTTCTCTTCTGTTTGAGGGAAGTGTCATTAGAGCATCTCTTTAGATGCATGTGCTGTTGAAAAGAAAGTTTTGAGTTGTCAATTTAATGTCTCCATGAGATCCATCCAAATGGCGAACATTCCTCTAGAAACTTACGAGGAGGAGTGGTGGACGTTATATGCACCCCCCCAAACCATGCCTACTCTGTGTATACAATGGCACCACCCCATATCTGCACACATTCCCCTCACTGGATAAGAAGCCAATGCAACTGGGTGCTGCACATTCCCACCCGCAGCTGTTGGGGCCGTCCACGTGGAGCCAACAGTCTGCACATCAAATGTTCAAGCTGGTGGTAGAGTCCCTTCTCTTGATACCCTGTGTCCTTTCCCAGAAAGAGAGGGAGAGAGAGAAAGAGAGACTGAACAGTGGGGTTTCAGCTTTTAACAAAGGACTCTCTATAACCGGTTGCAGCTGCTCCACATGTTTTGCATGAGTGTAATTATGTCTCCCCTTCAAACATGAGGGACATTCTTTGATAAACAATTTAGATAAGGGTCACACCCATTGCTGCCTAGCCTTAGAGTGGTTAGGAGTTCAAACTTACTCTCTCTATTTCTGTATGCTACTTTGAATCCCTAGTAAAATATCTATAATTATCAGGTTAATTAACTTTTTAATGAGTAAACTATTATTTTAATAATTAATTTCCCTTTCTCTGTCCTCTCCTTTTATATTAAGAGGATATTACTAGAGAAAAGGAGAAAGAATCAGACTTTGTATCTTGAAAGTATTGGAGAGAATTCTTGCTGTTCCACTTGGCAACAACAGAGTTAGGCATCTGAACAACATGGCCAAGGAATCAATAAAGTCAGACTGATATTGTGTCAAAAGCTCTGAGATGGCAGATTCATGAAATATGCAGTTGTTCTTTGGACTCTTTTGTGGGGATTGTATTGTGGGAAGCGGGATTCTGGCCAGATAATCTCCATCCATATCTGATATCCTGGGAACTTGTACAAGAGTTTCCATTAAAGGGTCTTTCATTTATTAGGAACAACTGGATACCAGCTGTTCTAAATCCTAGCAGATGTTATTAAGATTTTTATGCACTATGAATTTTATGACCATTTTTTAAACCAACCCGCCCTATAAAAGATTCAGAAATATGTTTTTAGCCTTTTCTTCTGTCAAAAAGAGTGGAGTCTAGGTTAGAAATGGAGAGAAGAAAAAATTACTATAAGCCAGTAGCACCAGTACTTTTGTATACGTGGGGAAGCGTTGCACGTACCATATTCTTGCTCTGCATTCTGCCCCTTATCAGTTCCCTAGTTATAACAATTCCACAATAATCACTGTTTAATGTAATGGTAGTTTTGCTCTATCAGAAAGCATTCCTGATTTCTTCCACCACCAATACCTACTGCAAATTCCATGCTACATCCCATAGTTCCAGAGGGTTCTCCAACCACCAGAAGAAGCTTGGGAGAGTGCAGTGGACTGCTGTATGCAGAAATGATTGGCAAGACCTGAGTCCCTCGTCTTCTGTGGATGGAAGCACTTTATGCTAGTGCAAAACCACAACTCAATCTTGGAACAACTTTAAGGTTAACACATTTACTGTGACATACACTTTCTGAGCTACAACTATAATAAAAGAAAAAAGTTAGCCTTCCTGAAGAAAGCATATGTTTATCATGTAATATAATTTGTGAAGAGGTTCACTGTATTTAAATTGTGCAGTAAGAGTAAGATGTAGTAAAATTCAGTTGCCAGCAGTCCAGTTTTTACTCAAAACACTATACTGGCAAATCTTTCTCTCTCTGCCTGCTTTTAATTAGGTGTTGCTGCTTTTATAATTACTGTTGATATTTTAATTGCAATTACCCAGTTTAAGGAGAAATGCTTTTAAGGTGATGACAATGATTATATTTTAAGAAATCTTGTGCATCATCTTGAAGGGGCAGCTGCGTCTAAAAGGTGGCATATCAAATAAATGTATCAAGTAAATAAATGAAATTTAGCATTGAAAGAATGCTAGCCTCACATATCTTCTCCCTGAACTCAGTATTAGATACCTGTCTACTTCATGCATCTGGCACCATAAACTCTGGCCCACAAAAACTCATGTCATAACCCATTTGTTAGCAGGTTCTGCCACTGTTGCTATTCTGGAATTCCGTTGTGGAGCGGAATGCAATGGGGGGCTTGCACCCCTGCTGATCCTTTTCCACCCTGCTGATTCCTTGCCACAAACACTGACTGCTGTGACAGCAGGACTCACCGGCTGTGTAAGGGAGTTTCCTTGGGGGGAGCCTCAGAATGAATGGAGAAGCTGATTTCTCAGAGCTCCCTTACACAAGCTGTGCTACCTGCTGCCTTCCAGAAATGGCTGCTTCTGCCCATTGGAGCTGCCCAGAAGTGCTAAATTGCCATTGCACAGTTGGGAGAGTGAAAGAAATCAGGGGGACATAAGAACCCCATTATATTCTGTCTATAGTTCCCCAGCCGAGAATTACCATGAGGGCCAAAAGAGACAATAATGTAACCCTATTAAAACCAGGTAGCTTGAAAAAGTCACCAATTACACTTTTCATTGAAGAGTTTACACAGAAGCAGAATTACAACATAGTCCTCCCACAGTGATGTTGCTTTAATCCCTGACCAATTTTTCCCTAGAGAAAATCCACTACATGGAGCATAAAAGTATCTCCAGAATATACTTTGCCATTGAGGCTATAAAAATGCCTCAAGGATATTCCGAAGGAAACTGGCCTTGAGAAGCAGTCTTAAGTACTTTGAGGGTCACTAGGCTGTGACAAAGTGTCACATTTCATTGTAGAACATCCATCTCACAGGGACAGCTTTGTTATGGTAAAAAAAATACTCAATGACACCAAAAAAACCTTTTACCTGAAATTTTACACTGTCAATTAATGTTATCTTTCTAATAGTTTGGCTGTATAATATAACTCTTCTGAAGTATACTGGGCACATGCCTGTTTCTGAGGACATTTTACCACTCCAGAATAGTTGGAAAATGACTTGGGGTAGTAAAATTCCCCCCAAACATGTCTGTGCTTGTTTTTACAACCATTTTTACACATGTTTTAACTTCATATCTGTCAGCTTATGGGATGGGGGAATCTTCATGTTTCTTCTAAAATAGGTGGAGGGACCAAGTTAGACTTTAACAGCTGCCTTATTGACTATGCTAAGATTCTGATTCAGATGGGGGCCCTGTACCTACTCTAGAGTAACAGTGGAAAACAGCAGCTGCTGCTAGATACAGATTTAAAGTGATGTTTGTTTGAGCCCTGAGGTGAAAGAGCTGCCAAATCTTACTGAGGATGTGGTTCACCTACTGGACCATCTTACCTTGTATTACTCCATGGAGATGACTTTGGTCTTTAAATGGCATATTCTTGTCAATCTTTTACACTGCTATATAAATCATGTTGACCCCCAGGGCTCTCTGTACACCATCTTTCAAAAGCGATTAATATTTAAGCCTTTTAACAGCAAACTTCTCGAAGAGGTAGAATTCCTGAGGTAAAATACATGGATACCGATTGCTTTACTGTGCATTGTTGCATGATCAGAGAGGCACACAAGGGTTGGCTGAACTGCACAGCAAAATGAGATCATAATTTTCTTACGATGCTTATGACATTTAAATATTACTGCTATGGGGTTAGGGTTAATGTAAACACACTGTAATGACATGTAGAATGGTGATACCAGTGCGCAGTGTGAGACAGAGTGTTCTCCTTAGTGTTTTTTAAAGCAAACACACCCCAACTTAAGGACAATGTGAAAGATCTGATGTTTTTCTTGCCAATGACAACATTTTGAAGAGTGATAGAAGAAAGTGTCCTGCTTGCAAGATCAGCTTCCTCTGTTCATCCAGCCCTGGAAAAGGAACGTGGATAGTGCTCTTGCCCTTCCCGAAGATCATAGGATGTTGTTGGACTGCAACTACTATCAGTCCCAGCCAGCATGGCCAAAGGTCAGGAGTGCTGGGAGTTTATTAATTCAGTTACAAACTGCATACATCACATTATAGCTTTAAAAGAACAGTAAAGAAAAAATAAAAATACAGAAGAATAAAATATTTAAAATCAATACTGGTACCAAAAACCATTTGTAGTCCAGCAACATTTGGAGAGACATAAATTCCCCACTGTTGTTGCAAAGTATCCATATGAACCTTCCACCATATTCCACAGCCTATTTCAGCCAGAGTAACTGATTTATGTGGATCAGATTTCATTAATCTAAAAATTAGAGCATTTCTGCTAATTGAGTGCTATTAACTGTACATGGGCTCTGGGTATGAGACAGAAACCATTTGGGTTCCTCTTGGGCAGCAGCAATCCTTATCAAGGAGCATGATAAATGAAGTGAAAGAAATGATAGGAGCAGAGGTACACAGGCCCATGTGGACACCACGAAGCCCTTGGGGTGGGAAAAGCATTCTCCTCCTTGATGCCTTCTCCACTAATGTCAGTTAACATAAATGCATCATCCAGTGATCATGCTGACTCGAACAAGGAATAAGGTGTCAGTCTGCCTTGGAGAAATCAAGGCAGATGCTAAGACTGGTTGGAAAGACATTGGTAAGATCATTGCTTTCAGCCAGCCGTCATGGGAGCAGCCAAGCCTGAGCACATGATACTACCCCAAATAAGTTTGTCCTCAAATTCAAGAGGAACACACAAAGCTGTCACATGTTGCAAGAAGCCGGGGTTCCCAGGCACACTTGCTCGATAATTTACAAGCAGTTTCTGGTTCACACATCAATCTAAATAAGCCAGGCTCGTAATGGGAGCAATTGTAAGCATTTGCAAGCAATGTCTGGAACCCTTGCTTATCATTATTAATGTACTGGTTATCTTTATGAGTGTTAATTACCATTCCTGATCATGGATTTTAATGCCATTTTAGCTTTGCAGTGTCCTGTTACAGAAAAAATGGAGTGGTGCGCTGTAAGTGCAAAGAAAATTATGCAGGGCCAAACTGTGAAAGGTATGTACATTTTCAGATGCAGCATTTTAAGCATGATAAACCTTTGTGTCATTCATCTTGATCAAATACTATCTATGTTTTAACAAATGCAGTTTTTAAATTCCTCTGCCCCTTTATCTGAAGAATGAAACCTCAAGCCTAGATATGGTTGTGTTCAGCGGTCTATGTTCTGTCACGTTCAGTAGGCTATAGCCATACAAAGTCCCACTTGGCCTACATTTGTGAGTCCCTGGCTCTTGTTGGTCCTCTCAGGCCTAGGTATGATGCTGCGATTTGGCTTTCTATTCATACCCTTGGCCTCTACTGCTGCTGTTCCAACTGGTCGTCCTCAGCTGGGTCAAGGTCAATCATGATAAAACATTCCTGGATGCTCCTAAGATTAGCCAAATGGAACCCAGTTCCATTTTGTCTTATGTAGAGAGATGTGAACCCTTAGAAAATATCTGGGGAAAACATGAACAAATCAGTAGCAGGAGATTTTCTTCAGAACCCCACCAACCCCTGCCCCATACCTGAGGGGAATTTTTAATCTGATTTTCCTGTCTCCCCATAACTTTACAGAACTTCCTATAGCATGGGAATGGTAAATTCAAATCTTCATTACCCTTCCACTTTACATAGTGCTGAGAAAAGCCATCATGCATTTTTGCATTTTGAGATGAGAATTAGTGTTAGAGTACAAATGGTACGTGCTTTCTACTCTAAAGAAGTGTGGTGTGGTGTGATGTGGTTGGGTTGAGTTTTGCCCTCCTGAACTAATTCTGTCATAGTGAGAAAAAATGTGCTTTTCAACTTTGGGTAAAGCACTTTGGTTGCCAAATATAAATTAGGACAAATTAGAAAAGAGGATTGGTAACAGCATAAACAAAGTGCAGATTTTGAAGTCAGTGATTCAGATTTTGCCCTCTCTGATGTAAAAGCACTATCCTTGGCCGGTTTCACCCACACACCACATTGAGAATGTCACAGGTGCTTTCTACACGATCCATGAAATCCACAAGATGGAACATATTGGGGCAGCATATGCACAAACATATATATACTGATACACTACAGGATGCATGTGGCATTCTACACATATTGAGATCTACATGTGAGCCAAAGACTTGCATTTTGAGTTTATAGTCCACTGTACTTGGAGTCCTCGCACCAGCTCACAGTGTAAATGGGACCTCTTTGGTGTTGCTGCTGTTCCTTTTGAAAGACCAGCTACAGAAACTGGAGCAGGACGACGGAATTGGAGCAAGCTGTTAACAGTTAATTTTGCTGATTCAAAATCTGATACTGCATTGCTTTTTATAAAGTCTAATAAAATAAGATTGTCATCCTATATATATGTGCATGGGCAAAGAAGTCCCATAGAATTCAGTGGGACTGATTACTGAGTAGAGTGGTATAGGATTGCTCTGTATAGAGTTGAAATTTGCCCTTTTTCATACCAGTGTAATTATTAATTATCTATAAGGATCAACGGAATCACTTTCAGTTCCCAGTTAAGGATCAGATAGTACCTACTGGCACTGTTTCATGGAAAGAAACTAGTGTGTGAAATTACTTTAGCTTCACAGAATGAAATCTTGTGTCTTCAGCACCTTTCTCAGTAAATGGAAGCATGCATCAATTAGACGGAAAGTGAGAATTAGAATTACATTGTGAGCTTTTGCTGTGATTTAGCAAATCATGTTCTTCCAAAATAGACACACTCCTAACAAATAAGCAATAGAAAGGCTAATACCAAAAATTAATGAAAAAGTGATTATTTATTTTATTTTATGTCTACACCTCCCAATAACCAGAGTGTTTAGGGTGTTTGCAGTGAATTAAAGATGTATAAAGATAACAAGCTAATAAGAGATAGCATAATTTTTATCCCTGAGGTTTTAGCTGTGTAAAGAATCGTAGATGCAGATCAGACGTGCAGCCACCTGCCGTGTTCAAAGTTCCTACCTTGTTTTTGTTGACTTGGCACAGAGAATGTCGCCAGGAGAAAAGGTCAGAAAGCTATTGCCATTCCTCATTGCTAGGTCTGCATTTTCATTCCAGGTGTGCACCCGGTTACTATGGAAATCCCTTGCTGATTGGCAGCTCCTGTAAAAAATGTGACTGCAGTGGCAACTCAGATCCTAACCTGATCTTTGAAGATTGTGATGAAGTGACAGGACAGTGTCGCAACTGCTTGCGCAACACCACAGGGTTCAATTGTGAACTATGCGCTCCAGGCTATTATGGGGATGCCAGAATAGCTAAAACATGTACAGGTACTTACTGTATTACTATTAGGTTCTTTCAGTGATTTGTGAACATAGATTTGGATGCAATCCATGCTTTGTGATGCATGTGAATATGCTTTGGATGCAATCTATGTGATTGAGACATGAAGGCAGAAATATGAATATTCTTGCATTGGAAGTTCTACTCTTGGAAAATGATATGTAGCTTCCTCCAAGGGCAGAACACCTTAACTGAAGCTTCTTGGACATTTGAGATCAACCTTAAGAGTCCAGTATAAAAGATTAACTGAAATCCTTATACTGGTCCAAACAGCAGCCAAGCAGTAAGTCATGCGAGCTGCTGCATTAGATTATCTCATGTCTTGATCTAAAAGTGCAAGTACTGGCCGCAGCCGCAGCTTAAGGATGGCCTGAACAATCTGGGAACCAAATTGTCAATATAATCAAGCACCTGCTTTCTTTTTACTCAAGCAGGCTTCCCTAGCCTGGTGACTTGTGTCAGTCCCAGCTGACATAGCCAATGGTCAGGAATATCTGTGGCCGTAACCCAAAATATCTGAAGGGAACCAGGCTAAGGAAGGCAGGAACCAGGGATTAAACCTTAAGGAGAAGGTTTCCTGCTGCATGAGACCCATTGATTTATGAGATCCATTCTGTTTCTGTTAATTTTTATTGTCATAAGGCGTGAAATGCAATCTTCTTACATAAATTTAAATAAACGACTTACTGTGGGTGCACGTGAAAAGTGTTCGTTCTGTTTCTAAAAGCCAAAGTAGATGTGCTGCTCTCATGTCTTTAGTGCTGGCACAGCTGTGCTGTCAGCACAGTTTTAAACAAATAACAGACACGGGAGGCCCCTAAATAGATTAGGACACATCTTTAAGATAGGTAAATAAGGATTCAACCTGTGCTGAATGGGGTTACAGCCTGGACACCCAGCCCTGAACCTGAACACACATCTTGATGTTCACCTAGAGTATGTTTGTACAGCTGAGACTAGTGCACTCATTGCACCTGTTCCTAGAGATGCCTGATCTGGCCATGATCGCAACCCCTGTTTGGATTACAGCAATGCACACTTTTGGAGCGGCCTTAAAAGCTGTTCAGAAACGTCATTTGGCCCAGAGTGCCGCAGTGCAGCTCTTGAGTAAATAGGGTCATTTATAGGGAGCTCGGGACTCACTTGTTTCAACAGCTTCCCTGGATACCACTCTGTTTCTGGGCAGACTTCAGAGTGCTGGTCATGCCCTATAAAGCCCCATATCGCTTGGGATCAGATGATGTGAAAGATTTTCTCACATACCCAGTTCTTCAGGTCTTCTGGAGAAGCCCTTTTTTGGGTCCAGTGTCATCAGAGGCACATTTTGGGGCTGCTCTGTGACTGCTGTGGAACTTTCTGCCAAGGGAGAAGGGCTGCATGCCTTCTCTGTTGTCCTTCTGCTGGCAGGCTAGGACCACATGATACACATAGGCCATTGGCCCGTATGTGGGTCTGTTGGCTTGGATGCTGTTTTTATTTCTGTAGTTGTCTGTTGTATTTTCATGGTATTTTAATCTTTCCTATTCTTTTAACTGATTTTAATTTGTTTTGTGAGTGGCCTTGAGTGACTTTTTAATTCATTAAGGCAGGGACTGCCTGACCAAAGTTGTCATGGATAGGACGTTTTGGAGGACTTTCATTTGCAGGGGTGCCATAAGTTGGAGAGGACCCGACAGCACAGAACACTCAAGGTGGGGATTAATCCACTTAGAGAAACAAAGTCTTTGCCCCCATCATAGTCTCAATCAGAATTAGGCCATGTGGAATGGGAGGAATGAACTCATTCTGAATCTGAAGAGCAGACATCATGGCTGGGTTTAAAGAGGAGTGTCCCTCCACCCATGCTACAACCCCGTTCCAGCTGGTCCTCCTCCAACGTTGCCAGTTCCTTGTTTTTTAAAAATACACATGCACCAGCTTGCTGAGTATAATGATGTGAAGAATGTGACATCCATAACAACGCCCAGACAAACGACACAGGAAAATTTACAAGCAGAGCATGAAGAAAACAGGGTTTCCCTGTTTCTCTCCACATCTAATATTCATGGGAATTCATTTGGGTACTACGGCTAAGAAAGTGAGGCCTAGCTCTGTAATGGGAGTAGATTCAGACAGAACCCTTTCATCATTTTAAGTATCCCCACTCTAGCTACACTGGCACAAGCATTTTTGTGCCACTATAACTAAGAAAGGTTCATGTGCTCAGACTGTGAACCGCAAAAATCTGTCTGCTTTTCCATGTTTCATTAACCAAGAAGTATATATGTTATGGGTTTTAAAAGTAAACTAAGCTTGGGAAGCAAGTTAATTTTAGAAGCTATAATAAGACAAAATAGCCAGAAGGTTTTAATGTGCTCTGAAAAATGCAAGCTTTAGAAACACACTGAATTTCAAAATGGCAGGTTATATTGCAGGTTTGAGCATCTAAGTAATAAATAACTGTTGGTGCATTCAACCAGTGAGAGATTGAAAAGGACTGTTATTTTTATATCATCAATGTTAACAATAATATGTTCAATCATAAAGGAAAAAAATCATTTAAGATCTCCATCCATCCATTTTGTCAGCAGCAGTTCAGTGAGTTTATTTCTCATATAAACTGTTTTGAGCACTCCGCACTGAACTGTGAAGAGCAAATCCTGTGGGATTGTGTTCTATACACAGAGGCTCTGAGGTTGTAGCCCTACACCTCTCCTAAGTCCTGCCACAGGAGTCAGGCAGGGCAGGTTCGAGGATGGAGGCATTTCATGTTCCTCCTTTAAATCTGTGTTTAGCCAGACTGGCCTCTGAGCCTGTCCGGTCCATGTAACTTCCTGGTGGCAGGTATGAAATGAAGAGACTGCATGAGCCTGTGAATCCTTGCCCCTCCCCTGCATCAACCAGTGAGCCCCCTTTCTCCCACCCTCTTCTGAGGTCACAGAAGTGGGGAGGCAGTAAGATTCATGACTGGACCTCCTCCTCTGCACTTGCAGTTCAGCTGCAGTTGCAGAAAAAGCATCCCAGGGCAGCTTGGGGCACCGAGATAGAGTCTAATTGCCATAGGATTGCTCCGCCCATAATATTGCTTTTCTGTAGCAAACACACACTTGTATAGAAGACGAAATTAGTCCAAGGTTGGCTCAAAACTAGTTTTCTGAGTTAATTATCTAATAAAGTAAGCTAATTAGCATAAGATTAAAGAAGCCAATTAGTGCTTGCTTAGGCTGGCTGGTTGTCACAATCACTTTTAGCATTATTTCCTGATTGATTGCGCACATTGTATCCCAGCCTCAAATGCACTACTCCCTGTATTTATAGGGGGGAAATGCTGCCATCGAATCTTAGATTGGATCAGTTGTAATTGTATGTCGACATAATTTGGAATGAGGGTTTGCAACATCTGAAGATGCCATCTGTACTTAATGTAGCACACTTACTTATTGGGCTACTTTGGCAAGTAAAATAGTCTATACTCAGTACACAAAAAAGTTTCCAGAAGTATATTTCTTGGCCCCCTGGTTTCCTTCTATTTCCTCTTTGGTCACATAAATGATCTGGATTGGTAACATTATAAGGGACTCTGAGTTGATTTGGGAATAACGACTTCCATTCTGAATTCTTTGCAGAAGCTCTTGCTCCAAGATTTGAAACAGACCAAGTTGACTATGATTTCTGTATAACCTTTGCTGTCTCTCTCTTTTTCCTAGCATGCAATTGCAGAGGAGGCCCTTGTGACCACCGAACAGGACAATGTCTAGCAGAACCTCCAGTGCCTCCTCCTGCCACCGATTGCCCTGTTATCAGTAAGAATAACATCCCAATTATATGACGTATTTGCTACCAGTAGAGATTTAAACTAATGTGTGTTTTGGCCCAAAGAGGCTGTCATTAAAACTTACCTGAAGGAATGTTTTAATGTGGTAAATGAAACAGAGGCAAGGTAGAAAACTGCCTAGGTCTGCTAAGACCTAATCCAAGGCTATGAATAGCCCCCTTGTCTACTGTCATGCAGCAGGCCATTGCGGGGCTTGGCAGGGTGTTTTTCTAGGAGGAACATTTAGGCAGGCAGATGCAGCCTATTTTGTTGGGGGAATGAGCAAGAATCAAGCAAGGCTTTTCAACACAGCTGCCCTTTTCTGCTGCTTCATCAAGTGGACATGTGTCCTCTCGGACGGAGGACAGGCCTGTATTGGAGGCTCCCTCTATGAAAGCTCCTCCCATCCAAGGCCAGTTAAAAATGAAGAACCATCAGGAGGCCAAAAGGGCTTTGAAGTTGCTTGGACAGCAGACAAGGCGGGAGGACACACAGGGCACCCGGTCACAGGCTTCCCCAGGGTGAGATTATATTTTTATTTAAATTAGTTTCTAAATTGGCATTTCTAAATACAAATTTTATGCAAACTAGCATCCTCTTTTGCCCTTTTTTCCCCAGGGTGTGCTACATATGTGGACACCCCAGCTGCATAGCATGTCTGCAGGAAGCTTCATCCATGAAGCACTACAGCAAGAGCTCAAAAAACCTGGTGCTTACTTAATGCCTAGAATGTGGTGATGCAGTTCCCTCCAGTGACAATATTGCTTAGAATACAGGTGGCAAGGAATTAGTGGGGCAGGTGGATTCAAGGGTGATTCGTGATTTGGAAATCTGAGTTCCAGTTAATATATTACCTGGTACTTTTTTGTGCAGGGCTGGCCCAAATATTTTTCAGTCTGAGAGGGATGACCAAATGGCAAGATTCATAGTAACAAAGGCTAATGCTATTAAATTGACACCTGTGGCAGCAGATCCCACAATGCCTCCCCCACCCACCGCCACCACTATAGTGGCGGTGCATGGGTGCCCCCTCCATTGCTGTCAAAGTTACCATTGTGAAGGCAACAAAGCAGTGCTTCTTGCAAGGAAACAAGAAGAAATGCAGCCATGTAGATGGTCCGCAAAATTGCCGCAGGTTTGCCACTGTCAAGAGTGAAAAAACTGCCCTTGGAGAGTCTTCTGGGGGTGTACAAGCAAAAGAACTTGTACAGTTTATGCAAACATACAAGAAATACATGCAACATGTAGGCAGTCCCCAAAAGGACTACAAAGATGGAGTTTGTATAAGATGCTTTTCTAACAAATTAGTTACATAAAGTTTGTGGGGGATCACATACACAGAATGATAGAGGCACATTAGAATAAAACAACAGGGATTCTATGGTGTTCGGACACCACAATACAGAAAGAACCTTTGAGAAAGGCAGACATTGGCATGTCCAAGATGTGCCCCAAGGGACAGACCTTTCAGGACAGGAACACTAGCATTTCAGGAAGCAACACTTCTAACATGGATTCCTCATCAGATCTAAAGCTGTTCTTACAGCCTCAGTCTTTTAGCAGCCATGCTATAGAAAGTATGTTCTTTTGCCCTGACACCACAAATGCCAACGCCAATTCAGGAGCACTTCCAGCAGCAGTGGCGATTTGGGTGGAGGGGGAATAGGGGGATCCCCATCCCCCGAAGCTGCTCGCTCCTTAAATAAAATTTTGGTGAAGGAAGATACCAAGTACTTGGAGGGAGGCACAGTTTGTGACAGCAGGCCCAGCCCTGAATGCCACAAAGATCAGGCTCGGCAGCACCTTCCATGACCCTACTCCACTCCATCATCGGATTTGGTATTTCTTGGTTGGCCATAAACAAAGATATGTTCTTGAGGCCCTTGACACCAATGGAATATCGAGCAAATTACAATTGATTAGGTTAGAGCAGGGTCTAGACAATAATCAGCACTGAGGGCCAAGTCATCATTTCAGTTTAATTAGAACCAGGACTTATCGTGCCTAGCCCCAGAACATTTCCTCATCCCCAGAGCTTATACAGCAAGAAAGCAGATATTGCCTTTGAATGTATGTTGATCCTTCAGTAATGATGGCCAGCACTACATATTTTGGTATAAAGAAATTGCGCTCAAAATCAGAGTCCCTGGCTTCTAGGCAACTTTGAGATGACAGCTGTCTTTTTAGAAATTAGGCTCTGAATATATCATTCATTAGGAAGGAGAAAATTGTTCCCTGTTTATGGTGTTTGCCAACTACACTAGTGATAGAAATAAAACTTTTACAAAAATACCTGTTCTGCATAACATAATATAAACAACATACTAACAGTATCTATGGAATCTCTGCTTCACAGCTAGAATGCATTTTCTTTTGCTTAATTCTTTAACTTGTGGGTCAAGCCATTTTTCTCTTAATGCCCTGTATAGATGATATAGATGGTGTTTCCTATCATGTGCTAAATGTTTTAATATGAATGTTTATTTGGATTAATTAAACCAGTAACCTGGTTTGCATGGCCTGCTTCAGGGTTGTGGATAGTTTGTTAACCAGGGGGTTTGCACAACACAGTAAATTGCAGAGTAGCCCTGTCTCAGCTTGAATATGCAAAACAGCAGCCAGTGCACATCACAAAGCCCCACAGAGGAATTCCTGGGAAAACAGGTCCAATAAATATCCACTTCTGGAATACTGTAGATTACAATGGGCCCTGTCTAACATCCTTTGTTTATTGCTGGCTTCAAATGTGAATGGATTGAATTAACATTAAACCATTTCAAGATGTGTGAGATTACATGTTAGGAGAGCCAGAAAATATGATGAATTTGAACTTCTCATTCCCAGCTACATTATATCCTTTTGGCACTGTATACAAATTATTTCAAATTTATAACTAGGAAAGCTAGCAGAAACATGCTTTTTTTAAAAAGAAGAAGAGCTGAATTTTGCAAGATTCCTAGAGAAAGATCATCCCCATTCAACTGTCCATGTTTTATTTTCGTCTCCAGGCTGTGACAAATGCATTTGGGATTTGACCAATGACCTTGGTTTGGCAGCCCAATCCATTGATGAAAGCAAAGCAACACTGCAGAGCATCTCCACAGGGGCTGCTGCTCACAGACATTTGCAGGACCTCAACTCCACAACTTTCTTCCTCAAGGTACCAGTTGCCTTGTTTGGCCATATTTCTCTTTTTCTTTCAGCCTTAATATGTTGCACACAGAGAAAAAGAAGACACCTTCCATTCAGAAATAGCTACAATGCAGCCATAGGAGGGTCACAGATGTCAGATCAAAATTTAGAGCTAGGGAAAAGGAAGCTAAGCTTCTGCCTAATAGCATTTTCCCATTACAAATTGCCCCTTTCCCAAGCTACTATACTATGGCGCAGGGACAATATACAGGTATCAGGTTGTACCCACAGATTGCAATATATTTAAGGTCCAATTCAGGCATACAAGTTACTTCCAAACTATTACTATCTGAAGTGAGGCTTTTCCTGCATGAATGAGCCACCCCAGACATGTAACCACAGAGAGAACTTCCACCTCAACTCCCACTGCGTTTCACTGCAGTCTGATCACACATTCAGCCATTGGTCATGAAACGCTTGGGGAACTAAGTGATGTAAACTCAAATTGCATACACCTGCATGCAAGAATTGGCCAGGGGTGTATAATGGATGGAGAGTGCTGGACCAGGCCTAGGGAGAGCTAGGCTTCTGAACCCTCACCCAGCCATGATGCCCACTGGGTGACCTTGATTCAATCATTTTCTACTTGGCAAAGCTGTTATGATGAGGATAGGAAGGGGCACGGCAGGGGTGAGCAACTTTTGTTCTTCCAAGGGCTGCATTGCCCTCTTGGTAATCATCCAGGGGCCTCGTGTCAATAGTGGACAGGACCTTGGAAACAGAATTGAGTTTTGCTAAGGCATGAATGGTATAATGAAATATAGAATATGGTAATGAATGATAAACTGACGACAGAAATAAAATTTTTTTTAAGGTTAATGAAAGCAAATAAATATAATGAAATTTGGGAAGATTTTGTAAAAGCAGTATTGATACAAGGCAAAGGCTGCAAACCTAAGCAAGATTATATGACTTTCTGGAGGGGATATGGATATAATTGAAGTATATTATATATCATTGTTATAATATGTGAATTAAGTGGTAGTTGGTCTCCGGGCTGGTGGGGGCACTTTATTATTTATTCTTTAATTATTGTGTTTTCATTATAATATTATTGTTGTGATATGTTGTATTTATGTTTTTTTCTGTTCCTTAAAAATATATAAAAAAGCGGGGGGGGGGAATAGTGGACAGGACCAGTGTCAAAGTGGGTGGGACACCCTTTTTCTCTTTCTCCTTTTTCTCCCTTCCTTCCCACCCAGCAGGCTTCCAGGAAAGGGAGGAACACGCTTGCAAAATGGGTATAGGGATGGCTAACTCCTGTAACACTTTTCTTTTGAGTTTTATAGGACCTCTTCATGGTGCTGAACTCCATCCCCACCATGGGGCACCATGAATAATTCCTACAAAGGTCAAAAAAAAAGCTGCAACAAATAAGGAGCTTCACCAACATGTGGGCTACCAGCTTTCCCTGAGTAGGTTAGAACTGATCACATGCAGAGGGCTTTTGCAATTAGACAGGAGCTCTATGTGGATCTTTTGCCATAGGTTGCCCACCCCATGTAACCTCCTTCAAATATGTAAAAGGTTCATTAAAAACAAGATGGTAGGTTCATGTGTGGGTTGACTGTTAAAGCTGTCCTCCCCATCCTAAGACTCTGCCCTTGCTTGCTTCACATTCAGGCCATGTGTACCAATGGGCATTAGTCAGAAGGAAAAGGTGTTACTATTATCACCTGGATTCCTTGTGATTGCATGGTATTAACCACAGCCTTGTCTATCACAGCAGGATGATCGTTCTCCTCTATCCTCTCTAAGGCAAGAGGTGGTGAGCTTAGGGTTCCAGAAGCTAGGCAGAGTCAAATCAGTGTTTTCAAACTCCTACCCATAATGTTATGTCCGATGTGTACATATTTGGGACTTATTTTCTGTTTGCTCCCACAAAACAGACAAGCACACATACAAAAGTGCATGTCCCAGAAGCACACATACCCTTCCAGCTATGGTAGAACCCTTCCACAGATTCCATGCACCTTATGCTGGCAAGAAGCAACAGCACCGTGGTAGCTTTTCAGTGGGGTGTTATGCAGAGTGGTATGTGTGGTATGGAAAGAAAAAATAATAATCCATCCCAGGAATGTGAAGCCTCTAATAGACAATAGGACAAACCGACTTGGAATTTGTGCAATCTTCTTCAATTGCATTTTTTTCATAAGCGCTAAACAAGCACTGGTCTCTTAACTCCTGCTTCACTACAGTAGATCAGCCAAGCTGTCACATGAGATCCTTTCCAGCATTTTGACTCTGTGACAATCCAAAAGTACAATATTTGATTAGTACTAATTATTATTTAATCAGTTTACATGATATTTATTGTGTTTCATGCTAGTGTATTCTTTCGGTGCTACTCATTCTTAATGTGCATTGTTAAAGCAAATGGTTTGCAAGTGCACTGAATGAAGATACTTTGTTCAACCTATTTTATTTTTATTTATACACATGTAGAAAAAATTGTCAGAGAAGGATAGTCATTCTGTACTGAGGAAGAGCCAGACTGATAATGCCGCAAATGAAATGACTGAGCTTCTCAAAGAAATCAATGCACTCGATAAAAAGGTTTGTTTGCCATTTTTATTTCTCCTTTTACTTTTCATTTCCTTTGAAGAACAAGCCTTGTTTTATTTATAATAGTTATACTGCAATATTTGTACTATTTCATCGCAAAATCACAGTAGAGTAGGCAAGATTCACTGAAATAGGAATTAAAATAGCATACAAACATAAAAACAGAAATATATGCATACTTTTCTTAGTGACAAAATTCTACGCTGGCATTGATAAGCAGATGGGGCTTTAAAAGGCACCAACATGCTATCCAGGATGATGCCTATTGCATCACAGTGGGGAGAAAAATCAAAAGGGTGCCAGAAAAGAAAGCCCCTCTCACTGGTTGCTTTTAGATAAAGCTGTACTGGCAAAGGAACAACCAGGGGGCCTAGATCCTTAACGAATGGCCTTGATCTTGATAGGAGAGAAAACACTCCCTCAGGTAGCCTGGCCCCAAGTTGTTTAAGGCCTTATAAGTCAATAGCATGTGATAAAATGTTGTAACTTTGGACAAATTTGAAAATTGATGCATTGAAACATAGTGTTAGAGGGGAGCTTTGCAAATACCCTGAAGCAACAGAACAATGAACAAGTGTACCTAGATTAAATCAAGCCAGAGCTTTTCTTAGAAGCAAAAATGACAACACTGCGGCTGTTGTACTTTGGACACATCATGAGAAGGCAAAGCTCCCTGGAGAAACAGTAAAGCAAGTGAAAGTAGAAGGCAGAAGAAAAGGAAGACCAAATATCAGGTGGACTGACTCTGTTAGGAAAGCCACAGGCTTGAATTTGGACAAACTGAGCAAAGCTGACATGGATAGGGCATTTGGAGGGCTTTCATCATAGAGCTGCCATTAGTCAGAGATCACTCGACCACATACAGGAGCAGCAGCAGCAGCAAGAGGAGGAGGAAAAAGAAGCAGAAGCAGCAGCAAAAAGAAGACAATGACAAAGACAAAGAAGATGAAGGTGATGAAGCGGCAGCAGCAAGAAGACAAAGACAAAGACGAAACAGCAGCAGCACCAAGGAGAAGACTAAGACCGAGACCGAGACAAATACCAAGACGCAGTGGCAGCAGCAAGAAAAAGATGAAGACCAAGACACAGAAGCAATTTTGGACAGTAAGATGGATTAAGACAACTAACATAGATCTGAGTGACAAGCTTTAGCAGTAAGCCAAGCTAGTCCATAAGAAAACAAACTCAATGGACAGGCAATGCCCTTATTAAGTCCAACCAAAAATGCCCAAAATTATAGGCAAGCATCAAGATCTCTTCTTCTGGCAAACTCGATTCAAAAGTACATTGGAAGGAAGGAAGGAAGGAAGGCTGACATGCTAATGTAAGACACAAGTCGGTGTCTTATAATAGAGTAGTTGCAGATACAAATGGATTAGGGTCCGCTAAGTGCACTTGAAGTTATACCTGCATAATGAAATGGCTGAATCTCCTATCATTGAAAATATAAAATCCAGTGAGTGCTTGAATTTCACTCCAGTATTAGGCAAAACATGGTTTCCTTCATAGGGAGAAAATGAAAGTAGAGAGATACATAGCAGTTTTTGTATTAACTAAGCTAGAGATGGATTTTGGTTGGTGCACTGGGTTACAAAACATAAGTTCATAGACGCCAAGTGATGTAGCCTTGTATTTGGAGGAAAAGAAACCTTAAAGAGTAAAGTGCCAGATTAAGGGCTCCATCCACCACTATGGGTAGGCTTCTTTCTCTCTCCTACAAAGCAATGCCGTTTCTCATGCCTGAAGAGATATAGCTGTGCTCATGGGTGAATCTGAAGCAAAGTTTGTATATTATCAGGTAGCCTAAAAGGATTTAAAAGCAGCCATGCAGCAACCTTAGCCATTAGCCAGTTAAGCATGAAAACTTGGCTTTGAGCCCTTATAACACACAAGACTAAGCTAGGTTAGTTTGGCTGTGCAATGGCCATCAGAATAATTCAAAACAATGATGTTGTTCTCATGGAGTTTTGTGTTTCCACAAGATGAAAGGGTACCAAAATGGATGGAGTGTACATGTACACAACATCAGCAGCAGAGATGTAGTACGTTGTAGATTTCTTCTTTGTCTTATCGATTTGAGCATGAAGTGTCTTCATTTGCAAATGATGAGAACAGTGGGAATGGGTAGGAAATTCCTTTGCCTTTCTGTTGGAAATGCCTTTCCCTTTCTGCTAAAGAGTCTTGAGTGGTTTGCACATTGATACTCTCTATTCTGATGGTTACACATGTCAGAAAGTTCAAGGGAGCAGAGTTATGAAAAAAATCCTGCCCAGTGGCTCAGGATAGTGGAAATTGTACTCCAACACCCCTGGACCGTTCCACGATAGGGGAGACAGATACAATATGAGAAAGGCTGATGTCCACATGAAGAAAACCGATGCCAGCATGGCCAGGAATTATGAGTACTGTAGGCTAAAACATTCTGCGAGGCTGAATGCATATCCCTGCATAGCCCTGTTTTGCATGTATAAAATCCCTGGTTTAGTCCCTCATATCATCAGTTTAAAAAGCTCAGATAACAGATGAAGGGGAAAAGACCCTGGAAATTCAATTCCACTTAAACTAAATAAGGCTATGTGAATGACTAGTCTGGCCTAGTATGAATCATCTTTGCACAAGTTCTCTTTGCTTGTTGATTGTTCAATTGGTGCTATTTTTTCCTAATATAAATATAGCATGTATGCTTCAGATTCTACTTTGATCCGATTACAGTAATCAAGTAATTCACCTATTCTTTTCAGACCTTTCAAGGCATGGCTATTGTATATGGAAGCTGTCATAACAATTTTATTAGCATGATTAGATACTTCAGAGTCTTTTCCAAAGCTTACCCACTTACACAGGGGCTTAAATAAGGACCATAATTTTCCAGCCAATGTAATCTTATCAGCCATGCTTTGTACGCTGCTAAGGCTCAGTTCTGAGCAACTCAGCTGTTGTGGCGTGAAAGCCAGTGCTACTGTATGTGTTGGGTTAAATCGAAGGCCTTAACCACATGAGAAAAATCTATGGGATGGCTCCCCTTCCCACCCCAGAAGGGCCCCAGCTTTGGAACCCTCCACAGACCCTCCTGGGATCAGAGGAAAAGGGCAAGTGAGAGACAGCTAGAAAAGGATTTCTAAATTAAAACTTTAATGACCTTTCAAAAAGTGTTACGCTTTATAATCAGGCACAGTTTCATATGTACACGGGTACCAACCACTCAACAGTACAATATTTATTCTAAATGTCTGCTCTTAACTGCAAAAGTAAAATTATGCTGTCCTATTTACCTCAGAGTAAAGAACTTGCCCAGAATTACATTTATTTTACAACAGCCATCTAATAGTTGATTAAAGAAGCCCAGTTTTCAAAAAAGGATTTTCCTTTTGCCTTCCTTCTTCACTCTTATGTAGTTTGAGAGTTCTTGACCGTTTGACAAAATCACTGCATCTTATTCCTAAACAAGAAGTTTTACACACTGGGAAAAGTAGATGATACATGACCACAGACGAACAGGGATTTAATGCTTCCACCCACCATACTGTAGTATCAGTGAAGATTTACTACCTGAAGTTGCGAATTAGATTTTGTTTAGCTGAGAAAGACTGCACTTAAGGATAGTAAGCATATAAAACAGGAAGAAAGCTAGGGAAGGTTCATTCTACTAACAGCAATTAGAAGGTTCTGTACCTGAGGCAGAATCCGTAATGATGAGGTAGAACTGAGAAAAGGAATAAAAATGTGGCAGTGAGTTCCACAGACCCAAGACTCAAATTATTTTTATTTTAAAAGAAATATAGGTGAGATAAGTGAGATAATCAGAAGCTGCTTCATTTCATCTGCTGGCAGTAGTGGCATGATCTGTAAAGTTTTTTCACATCTGGGTTTTAAATTAGAATTACATTAATTGACTGCTATGGCATCTCACAGAACATGCCCAGAAACACAGGATAATGTAAAAGAAAACCTAAATGTGCATAAGTGCAATACATGGTAATGTGACTCTGCTAATATGCAGAGTAAAAGATAGATTAGATCAGTAATTTTGCTAAGGAACAAAACAAAATATTGTGTTGGGGATCTTACATCAAGAGCTAAAAAAAATTCTCCCAAGGATTTAGACATTTTATCTATCCAGACTTTTTGTAGAAATGTTCTTAGTGCCTAGGTTCATAGAATCATAGAACAGTAGAGTTGTATGAGGCCAGAAAGCCATTGGGTCCAACCCACTGCTGTTGCAAGCATTAAGTTAAGCCATTCCATTCAAATGACTGTCCAGACACTTTCTGAATGTCTCCAGTGAGGCAAAACCCATAACTTCTCTAGGTAATAGGTACCATTGTTGTATTGCTCTGACAGTGAAGAAATTCTCACTGTCCAGAATTTAAATTCTTTAAATTACAGTTTTATTTAGATGCTAGTTTTGTAAATTCTGGTTTAAATTCTCACCATCAGGAATTTAAATTTTTAAATTCTAGTTTTTAGATGTCAAGTTGAATAGAGTAAAGGCTGGAGAGAAATATAAAATTCCTTTGTGTTAAATTCTAAAAGGAAAAAAGATATTCCAAAGCTGTTCTATTTTTACAACTTTTTGGACCTCAGAGGAAAAATAGACGGAAACTCCGGGGGCAGAGGTCCCTCCCAAATTTTCAATTTCTTTCTGGGCTTTCACATTTCTATTCATTCAACCTCTTAAAATCCCTGCTATTTCATCAGAAACAAAGCACATATCATTTAGTTTTGCCCTTGTTTTGCTTTCAATAACACATGCCACTATTCCATCTGCTACTATCACATTGGAAGGAAAGCATTTTTAATTTATATTTTTTCTGTTTATAAACATAGTTTCTTATATAATGCTATAGTCTGATGTACTGTGTATTGATTCCCCTGCCCTAAGCTGCATGTTCCAGTCATTTCTCTTCAGAACACATCTACTAATGGTATAAAAAACTCCTTTATCAGAAACTGAAAATTCTAAGCTCCGAGAACTGACTCTGTAAGCACCG